TCGGGGTCCCTCCTCCCCACCCCGGGGGCCGGGACCCTGGCCGCCCGGCCCCCCCCTGTGCCGCCCTCACCACGATGGTGGAGAGCTGGATGAAGGCGAAGCCGCGATTCAGTTGGGTCTGCTTGTCCTTGATGACGCGTACATTGGAGGAGGACAGCACCGCATAGGGTGCCAGGGCCCCCAGGATGGAGTCCATGGTGCTGTGTGGGTTCAGGTTGCGCAAAATGATGGCTGTGGGAAGGGGCCCAGCATTAGGGGGCACCCCTGACACCCTGCTCCAGCCCTACCCTCTGGTGGCTCCCCACTGTCCCTCTTCTCTGGCTTCCATGTCTTTGCACCTGCTGCTTCCTCTCACCTCTTCTTCCTGGATAAACTCTGCTTGTCAGTCCAAGTCCCAGCTCAGTCACTCACCTGCTGAGAACCTTCTCAACACACCCCCAAAGTTGAGTCGGGCAACGCTCCTCTCCTGCTCTCCCTACATCACATGTGTGTCCCCCCCACCAAGCAGAGAGACCCTGGGAGGGCTAAGTCCTGGTCACCGCCATCTCTCTGCGCTTGGAGAGTCTAGCCCAGAGAGACACCCTAGGGCAGGGAGAAAGGAAGGAACAACTGACTCACTGTCATTGGCGTTCTCTGAGCTTGGCTCCGAGCCCTGTGACAGGGCTTGGGAGGCCAGCACTCCCTGGGCCTGGTAGGGCTGAGGCAGGGGGAGCAGGCCCTGGCTTAGCTCCCGTCCACCCAGAGGCAGCGTCTGCTGATCCAGCCTTGCGCCCAGGGGCAGCTTCTGCTCCGCCTCTGTCAGGGATGGCACAAGACAGGCTGGTGACGAAGAAGGAGGCTCCAAGGCTGGCCACCCTCCTCCCAGGACACCGGCCCCTCCCCCTCCTCCCCTCTCCCACCAAACTCCCAGGGAGGTGGGGAGGTAGGAGGGCCTCACCTGACTTGGGCACACCACATTTGAAGCACTTCTCACGGCGTTTGAAGTTCTGGACGCCACACTGTGAGGCACAGGCCAGGCCGTCAGAGCAGGTGGGGCTCTCCACTGTACCCTCCAAACTTGGATCCAGAGACCACCCCTCCCCCCACCTCAGGGAACCCCACGATGCTCCAGGAAGGAAGGTCCCAGGGTCAGGGGTGGAAGGGGGCTCCAGCTGTCATTCTCAGTCTGTGGATCTTCCCTTCACACAGTCTCAAGTCTGTCCTCAGGGCCATCCCCTCAGCTCGGGAATCAATTCCCCCACCCGTTACAAGTGCCACCCCCTCCTCGTCCCTTTAGCAGGTTCCTCTTCCTGAAACTTGCTTCCCTGTTAGAGACCTTCAGTGTCTTCACCCCTAAAAGCCAGTGGCCACTCTCGTCGACTCCCATCCCTCGTTTATCTCAAGAATTGGGTTGATTCTCTTGAGAAACCAGCCTTGGCCATCCCAGCCTCCAGAAACCCCCAACTTCTACCAAATCTCTCTCTGTTCCGTGGTCACGTAGTGCGCACTGGTCCCATGCCAGGCTCTGCCCTGTATGCCAGGGCGTGGCCTCCGTCATCCTCGAGGCCTCACAGCAGGGGGCAGATGTAGCACAGGGAGGCAGGTTAGTCTGTGGGGACCCACGGAGGGGAAGAGGCCAAGAGGGGTATGGCTCACTTAGCTGGGGACAGTTGGCAGGGATGTTTGATCTGGGAGGCCCAGAAGTTTGCTTTGGTTTTGCTGGGAAGCTATGGCTAGCGAAGGGAACAAGAGATTTTCTGTAGCTGGTGTAGGAAGGTGAAGCCAGACAAAAGCCGAAGCTGGAGAGGGCAGGTGAAGTTAGATTATAGAGGGTGGTCACGCTTAAGTTCAGAGTTGGCGAGGTCCTAAGCAGAGAAGGAAGGATGTGGTTAGAGGTGGTTTCGAGGAATGTTACAGATGAGAGGGTGAGAGAAAGAGGCAAGGCCAGAACAGCAAAAGAGGGGTCCACAGCGGGACACAGCGTGTGACAACTGGTCTGGGTGGTGGGAATTGCAAGGGAGGGCATTTCTGTGATGGAAGTGACAGGACCTGGTGACCAAGAGGATGTGGGGAATAGAGGAGGGGAAAGGAGGGAGTTCCCTGCTTTTGAGGAGTCTCTGAAAATACAGGAGAGACACAGTGCCACTATCACTTCGTCTCTACCTCTGCAGAGACATCGGACACCCTGCCTTCTGATAACACTTTCTTTTTAAACCAACGGTGCCACTCCCCTAGTAGGCAGAGTTCTTCTCGGGGAGCAAGTCGGGGCGTCTGCCAGCTCTCAGGACCACCGGCTGGCTATGGGGTCTCGGGCCGCCTCGGGGCTGCTTGTGAGGCTGGCCCCAGGGGAGACCTGAACCCAGGGTGGCGTCCGGGGCCCCTGTTATCAGGAGAGGCTCACCCACGGTGGCACCCCTTTGAGCCTCAGCTTCCTCGTAGGGAATACGACTCCAAGACCCCACAGCTTCTACCCTGGGCCTCTGGTGGACATGGCCTTGTCGGAAGGGCCATCAAGGTCGGGTCACCTGACTCAGGCTCTCACCATGCCCTGTGCTTTCTTTTGGGGGGGGGTATGGGCAGACATTAAAGGGTGCTAACCATGGGCCAGGTGTCGTTCCAAGTGTCACCCTCTCATCGCCACACTGGAATCCTCCCAACCACCTCTGGGGAGAGGTGTCATCGCTATTCACATTTTAGAGAGGAGGAGAGCGAGGCAGAGATCAAGGAGGATCCGAGAGGGTCTAATTCCAGCCAGTCCGGCTCAGAGGTCCACATTCTGACACACCGCATTGTGCCTCCACTGTCACTAGTTGGTCCCTTACGTAAGTATTTGCTGAAAGCCCACTGGGACTTCAGCCAAGACTGTACTACGTGAGGGCAGAGCCTGGCGCCAATGAGAGCCCAGTAAGCACAGGCGGGCGGGTGGGTGGGTGGGTGGGTAGACGGCGAGGAACGGTGGCTACTTGAGCTCAGCCAGTCCTCGACGCCTATGCCACCCCCAGAGGCCCCAGGGAGACAGACGCCGCCGCCGTCTCTATCCATGGCAACCGCTGCCCACCGCCCCTGTACCTTATTACACAGCCAGTCCTCATTGATCTTGGGCTTGGGGTCGCTGTAGTGCATGGACACCTTCTGGCCCAGGATGTTGAGGGAGTGCTGCGGGAAAAAGCAGAGCACAGTGAGGCCCGGGCAGCAGTGCCCCACGCACCGTTTCAGCACAGGAGAAGAGAGTGAGCGAGCCCTTCAGCTGGATGGATGAGGGACAGGGAACGGAGGGAGGTCGGAGAACGGACGAGGGAAGAAGGAAGGGAAGGAGGGAGGGAGAGCGCCACAGCCCTCGGGCGCAGCTGTTTGCTGCCTTTCCGGGCATGCGCACGCACACGTGAACACACGCCACCAGGCACACAGTGCTCGGCTGACCGACGCCTGCCGGACAGTGGGGGAAAACCCCCCACTCGACCCTGATGCTGCCAGGCCACACCCAGGGCCAGCACTACACAGGCTACACTCGGGATGAGGGGGACAGGGAGGGGAGGGAGAGGAGGGGAGAGAAAGAGAGAGAGAGAGCGCACGCGCGCTAGTGCTGGAGAAGGGGAAAAAGAAAGAGCCATATTTAAGAGATGGAAGTTCCTGCTGTGAGGCTGTCTTCCCGGGGCTGGCTGGGTCCTGGGCCCACAGCATTAGGGCAGAGATGGCCCCAGGGCCGCCCTGCTGAGCCCTGCTTCCACCTCTTCTGCCCCTTCGTCCCCTGAGGCTTTCCTTCGGTGCCCCACACCAGTGAGCCGGGCTCTGGGTGGGTGAGCAGAGCAGGTCCTTGGGTCTCTGAAGGTCCCAAAGCTGCTGGGTGGGGAGACCGTGCCAGGCAGGGGAGCAGGCTCCCTTCCCTTCCCTAGAGCAGGACTCTCTGCTGAGAGGGCAGGTCTGCCAGCAGCAGAATGGGGCAAGCGGTGACTTCCGTGGAGGGGTTAGGTGCAGGGGGCGGGCCGGGGCACCTGAAGTGAGTTCTATCACATCTGACTGCTACTTTAGATCAACAGAGCAGTGCTGGCCGCTCACACCGAAATCAAAAGGCCGAACTCACATGCAGGGAGAGAGCTGGCCAAACGGGACTTGCCAGTTAGTGTGCCAACAGCTAAGTCCCCCAGTGGCTAGGCTTCCAGTGGCGCCTGAGAGTGGAACGAAGTCCTGGCTCTGCCTAACCCCTGAGCAGGGTGGTCCCCGGGGACTGGGAGCCTGGGTGGAAGAACCTCCCCCCGCCCCCAGCAGCCCTTTCTCCAAAAGCTCGGCTGGGAAGTGGAGGGGCAGAGCTAATAGCGTCTGGTAGGAAGGGGCCAGCGGTGAGTGTGGGTTCTTGATGGGAAGCCCGGTGGGTAGCAAGAGATGGGAGGAGGAGATAGTGAGGGTCAGGAAGGGGGAGAGAGAGAGAGGGGGCGGGGAGGGGGGATGGGACACAGGGCCACAGGGCAGGGAACTGTGTCCATAAGAATCAGGCGATGGGGAGCGCTCGATTACAAAGTAGTATTTGTTTGGGGGGGGGTTCAAGTGCGGCAAAGCAACCTGATTGGCTTCCATCCATCGTGTAGCGTCCTGCAAGTGACTAAACTCGACGAAGGCGAAGCCCCGGCTCTGACCTGGAGACAGCATTCAGATACAGACGCAGTGGGTTAGTCAACAGCTTTGGACACACGGCGTTCCCGGGGGTGGGACCCGAGGGGAGAGGACCAGGGGGGCAGAGAGGGAAGGGGGGAGAGAAAAAGAAGAAAGGGAGAGAGAGAAGTAATCAGAGAGAGAAAGACCAGGGAGTGGGAGGCAAGGCAGAAGGCCGGGAGGGGCAGGAAAGAGGAATGGGGGTGGGGGGGAAGTGGGGAGGGAGGGGGAGAGGAGATAACACACACGCCAACTGGGAAGAAAGAGAGAGGAGCTCAGGCAGACCTGCCTGGAGTGACAGAGACAGAGAGAAGGAGCTAGGAGGGAAAGGGTACACGTAGAGGTCTGTCTCCTGAGAAGGAAGGAGGGCAGATGGGCAGGCTGTTGGCTCCACATGGGCCAGAATAAACACCTGAAGGGCGGGGCCCAGCACAAGGCTGGGGCACCCAGGAGGGGTCCTGTAACAAGTGCTTCATCAAAGAAACAAAAGAGAACCTGGGCCAGGCTGCTCAGTGAGGCTAGGAAGGCTCCAGGCCCATCAGGAACCAGGGGGAGTTGGGGATATGATGTCACCTCAGCTTCAGCACAGTAAGGGGATGTGGGCCTCACCAGGGAGCCTCACTCAGGGCCAAGCTAGGAAGATTATGGCCACCCACAGTGCAAGTCCTCCGAGACAGCAGGAGAATGGGGGCCAGGATTGGCCTGGCGGCCCTTAAAGAATCAGTGAGGGCCTGGGAGAAGCGCCCAGGGCTACAGAGGGGGCCACACCTAGGACACCGCCTATGGAGAGAGAAACCAGAACCCTGTCAGTGTGTGGCGTGGCTGAGGTGAAGCAGAGCAAGACCTACATGCTACCGAGAGACTCCAGGCCTGGCCAGGGCTAGGAAAGGGATCCAGGGCTTGAGGCCACAGGAAAACAGCTCCTCCTTTGGAGGTGTACACACAGGGAGGGCTTAGATGTGGCGGGTTTGGGGGGGGGGCATGCTTGATCTCCAAAAGAGTGACTATTAGGATGCACAGGAGGATGAAATGGTATGATTTGGGGTGAGGTAGGGAGGGACGGAGGGGGGAAGAGGGAGAGAGAGGGAGAGAGAGGGGGAGAGAGAGAGAGAAGAAGAGAAATAAGGGGAGAGAGAGAGAGG